GTGTGCTGGTCAGCCTGAGCAGCGAGCGCCCTGCCCTGGAGGAGTTCCAGCATAGGCGCGCGCCTGGATTAAATAACCTCAAGGGTCCCTCACAGTGAAAGGTTTCCATAGTCCTGTGGTTGGAATACTTTTAGGCAAGTGCTGGGCACAGGGGGTGCTGCTGCCCAGAGCTTGGGGCCCCAGGGCCCCCCACGGCATTCTTCTGCCTGCACCCTCACCGGGAAGGGCAGGGGCTTTGTCAGGATTGCTCAAGCCGCCATCAGTCTGCTTTGCCACAGTCACCCCGCTTTCCTCCTTGTTCAGGGCCGAAGGCCTGCCAGTGCCAGCTTCCTTCTCCCGCCTTGCCCCTGTGCCAGATGCCCGACTCCGAGGTTCTTACGCCCTCGCACAGCTCTAGCCTGGGGACCAAGAGGCTGCCAGGGTGTCTGGAGCCCACATGAATTCTTAGCAGTTCAGGTTCCATCTCACAGTGGAGGACTTGGACTTGTCCATGGGGAGGGTCTTATGGGAAGTTTCTACCTGGAAACAGGCGAGCAGGAGGTGACTTGGGGTGCTGGGGTGCTGACTTGGAGAGGCTTCTCATAGTCCCTCCAGAGTGATGAGTCGAGGTGTCAAGGTGCCAGGGCGTTTTTCGGCAGCGCCCTGGGGTCTCCCCCTCTAGTGGAGCAGCAGGGAAGCAGTGGAGGACTGCTCTCTGAGGCCCACCCACCCTGTTGGCTCCCCCTGCAGCTGGCCATGGGCAAGATGATGGAGCAGGGGCCCGTGCTGATTGTCACCTTCCAGGCTCAGCTGGTGATGGTGATCAAGAACCCCAAAGGCGAGGTGGTCGAGGGCGACCCGGTGAGTGAGGGAGGGGGAAGGGTGGGGCAGGCGGCCAGCCCAGGACCAGCCGAATGGTGGCATTCTGCACTGATGGCTGCTGAGAGCCAGGAGGTTCTGTGATTTGGAGAGGACAGGAGGGTGGCGCCTTGAGAAGTCCCAGGGCTTGAGCTGGGCCTGGTGGAGGTCAGAGGGTGACTGACCTGTCTGGCTCTACCACATCCTGAGCTTTTAGCTTCTGCCCCAGCCTCTGGACTCCACACCCAGGCCAACACCCCAACATCCCTCCCTGGTCCCCCCCCCCAGCGTCCCTGTGTCCTAACAGCCTTGTCCTGCCCTGCCCCTCTCCTCAGCCCCTGTCCCCGTGTGGGTGTAAGCCTGCTCTCCGCCCCCAAGCCCTCACCCGTCCCGCTCCCGCAGGACAAGGTGTTGCGCATGCTGTACGTGTGGGCACTGTGCCGGGACCAGGATGAGCTCAACCCCTATGCGGCCTGGCGGCTCCTGGACATCTCCGCTTCCAGCACAGAGCAGGTCCTCTGACCGTGACAGCCACGCCCAGGGCCTCTGAGGCTGGATCATCACACAGTGGCCACATGGGGCGGGACTGATGTCCACCTGTGGAAACACTTCTGGGGACAAGACCGTTGGCTCTTCTGCACTCTCTACCAGGGCAGCTGCAGAACCAGCTGGACAGGGAAGGGCCCAGGGCTGCTGAGGGCTGCCTCCCGCAGTGTCAGCGAGGCACATAGGCGGGACAGTGCCAAGAGACCCTGACCCAGAGACTCCTCAAAGGGCAAGGTGGTGGGCCCCACTGGCCACATCAGCCAGGCTGTTTTAGCTCCATTAAAAAAAAAATTAACAGTGCCCTTATCCTGTATGTATGCCTGATATTTGGAAGTGATAATAAAACACCAAAGTGTAAGAGAATGGCTTGGGTAGTCAGAAATGTCTGTCACTGGGGTGGGAGAGTGGGCCAAGTGGTCATGGCAAGGCTTTGGTCAAGGTCACTGAAGGAACTGCAGCCCCAAAGGGGGTGCCTTGTCTGGTCAGGACTCCACCTGTCTGGTGCAGAGAAAGAAAAGCTAGGGAGGATTTTGTGACCTGGTGAGGGTCTCTGAGGGTTGGGGTTCCCAGGCCTTGGGGAGCTTGAGCGCCCATATGAGCGATGTTGGGGGGCATTGAGAATCCCTCAAACGGAGTCTGGGTGAGGGGTTCTGTCTTGGAGAATGGGGGTGCAGGAGCTAAGGTCAGGATGGCGGTATCTGGGGAGCTTGTGGGATTGGGAAGGATGGGGTCCCGATTGCCTACGCTCGGTGGGGCAGGGGTGCGGTGATCTGGAGCCCGGGGCGGGGTCGCAGCCTTGCGCCGCTCCCTGCGCAGCCTCCGCCCCCTGCCGCGGCC